AGGCAGGAAAATCCTTCGAACCTGGGGGAGGTTGCAATGAGCCAAGATCGCACCACTGCACTCTAGCCTGGGTGACAAAAGCAAAGAGTCCATCTCCAAAAAAAAAAAAAAAAGGACTTCCTATTTATTAATGTATATATTTATTAGTAGTATACACTCATGGATTTTTTTTTTTTTTTTTTGAGACGGGGTTTCACTCATGCTACCCAGGCTGGAGTGCAATGGCGCAATCTCGGCTCACCGCAACCTCTGCTCCCAGGTTCAGGCAATTCTTCTGCCTCAGCCTCCTGAGTAGCTGGGATTACAGGTACGCGCCACCATGCCCAGCTAATGTTTTGTATTTTTAGTAGAGACGGGGTTTCACCATGTTGACCAGGATGGTCTCGATCTCTTGACCTCGTGATCCACCCGCCTCGGCCTCCCAAAGTGCTGGGATTACAGGCGTGAGCCACCGCGCCCGGCACACTCATGGATTTTTATTTCATTCAATAGGTTATAATCTATTACTGTCATTATTTATTAGGTTGGTGCAAACGCAATTGTAGCTTTTGCCATTCTTTTTTGTTTGTTTTGTTTTTGAGACAGTCTTGAACTACTGGGCTAAGTCATTCTCCAGCCTCAGCCTCCCAAAGTGTTGGGATTACAGGTATGAGCTGCCATACCCAGCCTGAATTTCTACTTTTAACACCCACTAGGAGTGTGACTTTGGGCAAGTTACCTGTTCTGAGAGTCAGTTTCTTCATCTGTTATATGGGAATAACAGTATTATAGCTACATGGGGTTATTAAAGTAATTAAATAGTAGGTTAGTAAAAGAATCAAATAAGAGAGGTTAAAGCACCCAGCATAGTACACTGTAGTGGCTCCAAAATGTTAGTTCCCTTCCCTTTTGCTTTTCTTTTTGAGATGAGAGTCTGGCTCTGTCACCCAGGCTGGAAAGCAGTGATGTGATCTTGGCTCACTGTAACCTCCGCCTCCTGGGTTCAAGCAATTCTCCTGCCTCAGCCTCCAGAGTAGCTGGAACTACAGGCGCAAGCTGCCACACCCAGCTAATTTTTTTGTATTTTATTTATTTATTTATTTATTTAAGATGGCCAGGCTGGTCTTGAACTCCTGACCTCAGGTGATCCACCCACCTTGGCTTCCCAAAGTGCTAGGATTATAGGCGTGAGCCACCACACCCGGCCAGCTTTTTGTATTTTAGTAGAGATGGGGTTTTACTGTGTTGTCCAGGCTGATTGTGAACTCCTAAATCAGGCAATCCGCCCACCTCAGCCTCCCAAAGTGCTAGAACTACAGGTGTAAGCCACCACACGCAGCCTCCCTTTTTCTTCCAAATATAAAATGATAACTTTACTCTCAACACTTTAATAAGGTCCAATAAGACACAAGATTCAACTGCCCAAAAAAAAAAGATTCAACTTGCTGGGTTCAGAATGTTATCATGGATTATCAGTGAATTGCTTTATAGATTTTTAAAACTAAAAATCAGCATCAAGAAGTATATAGTTCACATACGATGCTCTTGTCCTTAAAATAGATAATAATGTTCCCTTATGATCATCAATTTGTTTGCTTTAGACAAGAAAACATGGAACAAGGATTGAAAATAAAGAAAGATTGAAAAAAAATAACAGTAAAACCATTCTGAAAAAGTGTCTTGCTTCAGGGAGTTAAGGTCAATCGAAATGTCTTAACTATATGGCAGTATTTCAAAGAATAAAAATCTTTGATATATATAACCACATCAGTATCACCACAGAGATAGTTAATGAGGTTGAGGAGGCTTTCTACCTACCTACCATATTATCTTTCTCCTGATCCTGCTTCTTCAGGTAACTTAATACAGACATTGTGTCTTTCTCCATTTTACATTGCTGTTTCTTTAAGTCCTCATTGTTTTTTGCCAGTATCCGGGAAGTATCACGATACTCAATCCTAGAGAGTTCTGTGACTTCCAACCTGGCCTCCCAAAGGGAGGCATTGGCCTTGGCTCTGTCCACCACAGATTCATCTGTTTTTATTAACTTCCTGCATGGGAAGAGGACATTGACAGTATACGAACGACTATTTATACAACTCTAATATACAAACAGTATATAACTCCATTATTATTAGTTTTCTTAAATTTGTTTTGCTTGGCATTGCCTGGCACACATGAGCAAACATTGTTGGATGAGTGAGTTAATAAGAAATACACATCCAGTCGGGCGCGGTGGATCACGCCTGTAATCCCAGCACTTTGGGAGGCCGAGGCGGGTGGATCATGAGGTCAAGAGATCGAGACCATCCTGGTCAGCATGGTGAAACCCCGTCTCTACTAAAAATACAAAAATTCAGCTGGGCACGGTGGCATGTGCCTGTAATCCCAGCTACTCAGGAGGCTGAGGCAGGAGAATTGCCTGAACCCAGGAGGCGGAGGTTGCGGTGAGCCGAGATCGCGCCATTGCACTCCAGCCTGGGTAACAAGAGCGAAACTCCGTCTCAAAAAAAAAAAAAAAAAGAAATACACATCCAAATTTAAAAAAAGAAATATTCACTTGTATTCACATAAGAGAATTAAGTAAGCGTCTCTTCCTGAAAGAAGGGAGCCCTGGAGCAAAACTCAAAAAGACTGGAAAAACAAAGGGAAAAGACAGGATAAGCCAAACTCATTTCATAAAGCTTTCATCTTTTTTTTTTTTTTTTTCCTGAGACAGGGCCTGGCTCTGTCACCAGGCTGGAATGCAGTAGCATGATCTCGGCTCCCCACAACCTCTGCCTCCTGGGCTCAAGCTATCCTCCCACCTCAGCCTCCTAAGTGGCTGGGACTACAGGCTCATGCCACTATGCCCAGCTAATTTTTTTATTTTTTGTCAAAATGGGTTTTCGCCATGTTGCCCAGGCTGGTCTTGAACTCCTGGGCTCAAGTGATCCTCCCACCTCAGCCTCCCAGAGTGCTGAGATTACAGATATGAGCCATTGTGCCTGGCCAGCTTTTGTATCTTTTCATTTACTTCTTTGATTCTCCCATATTTATTTTATTTAATACAGATGGGGTCTTGCTATGTTGCCTAGGCTGGTTTCCAACTCCTGGGCTCAAGCAACTGCCCGCCTCTGCCTCTCAATGTGCTGGGATTACAGGTGTGAGCCAGTGCCCTGGCCTGATTGTCCTGTGGTTAAACGATCTCATCTCACTGCAACCTCCGCCTCCCAGGTTCAAGCAATTCTCCTGCCTCAGCCTTCCTGAGTAGCTGGGACTACAGGCACGTGCCACCACGCCCAGCTAATTTTTCTATTTTAGTAGAGACAGAGTTTCATCATATTGGCCAGGATGGTCTCGATCTCTTGATCTCGTGATCCGCCCGCCTCGGCCTCCCAAAGTGCTGGGATTAAAGGCGTGAGCCACCGCGCCCGGCTGGGCTATCATTTTATTAACAAATAAAAGAATTTCCCAAAATATAGTAGTGTTTATCTTCGAATGATGAGACTACAGGTGATTTTTGTTTTCTCTTTTGGTACTTCCCATGTTTCCCAAACTTTCTGTATTGAATATTGTTGAGAAATGGTTAGTGTATGACTGCTGAGAAATGCTGAGTGTATGATAAAATATACTGTTTGCTAAGAACAGTGGCAAGGAAAACCTAACTGCCACCCCCCCACCCCACCACGTGGAAAACTACTTGGGGCATTCTAAAGTAGCAAATTACAGTACAGGTATATCATACACCAGTTAAAACAATTCTTTTAGCATGGCATACGTGACTCTGCCCCCGTGGCTTCCTAGTGGAGATCTGTGGTAAGCAGGCACCAGCTGTCTACCTAGTTTGTCTTGGTTCTATGAGAAAACACAGGACACCTGTTTGTTAACAGTATCAGTGGTAAGCAGGCACCAGCTGTCTACCTAGTTTATCTTGGTTCTACGAAAAAACACAGGACACCTGTTTGTTAATAGTATCAGTGGTAAGCAGGCATCAGCTGTCTACCTAGTTTATCTTAGTTCTATGAGAAAACACTGGACACCTGTTTGTTAATAATCACCTGTTCAGAGAGAATACGTGGGTCAAAATCTGTTCGAGGCCCTCAGCCCGGAATGCTGTCAGCCCCTTGAGGCTCTCAGCTTGGAGGGCTGTGGGCCCCCTATGGTCGCACTTTACTATTCTATCTGGGTGTCTGCTTCTTAATGCCTTCAGCGCCGCCTGGGTGGGCTTCTCTAAGCTGAGCTGGTCTTGGTAGAGTATGAATTACTCTCAAGTCACTTTAAAAACATCTCAAGTTTGGTGTTTTGTGTTCCCATACATGGTGTTGTTGGACACCACATGTGACTCCAATGTGTCCAGAAACCACTTGGGTCCCCCAATAGGGCTAGCAGCAATCTAGCAGCCACTCCAGGCCTGGACAGTGCTAGAACATTACCCACCGCAGTGGCTCTGATCAGTTTGAGAAAACCTCAACGATTGCTCAACTTGGTAAAATACTTTAGGTGTCCCCTTTAAACCAAAAGGGGATCTCTGAAAAGGCCCAAGGAACTACTTTAACAACCTATACAACCTCTAGATATTTAAGATCAGCTGAACCACATAGTAGAGATCTGTCAGACTATGGGCATGGGTGCTGTAATTCTCACAAGCCAGGAGTGCCAGAGAGGGTCGGAGTGAGCCGGCGCGGGGTGCGCCAAGTAGCCAGCCCCCAGACCGGAAATCCAAGGCAGGCCCAGGGAGAGAGGACCCTGGGGCGGCTTCTCCTTACTTCGTGTCTTTGCCAGTGCTCTTGCCTTTCTTTTTGTCCTTTCTCTTCGACGGCATCTTGGCTTCCCCAGGGACTCCGCTGTCGCCGTTGCCGGGCTGCGGCCGCCCGGGCCAGCTCTGTCTCCAAGGGAACCGGGACGCCAAGCGGGTAACATCCCCCGCCCGCGCCGGTGACGGCGCACGAAGAGCGCACGCGCCGGTGACGTGACCCAGGCGCCGCCGCGCGGGGGGCGGGGCGGAGGTTACGCAGAGGGCAGAGGGCAGCGGGCCGCCGCGCCGGGGCAGCGCGCGCGCGCGCGGTGAGTGTACCACAGTCAGAGGCGCCTGAGCCTCTACCTGGGGCTCAGGCTAGGCCAGCGGCCCGGCGGGCGGGAGGCGGGAGCCGGCTGCCTCGGTCGGTAGCGCCGCGTCTTGCGGCCCGGGTGTCTCGGGCGTTGCCACGGTCGGGGCGTCCTTGCCTCAGGAGGCTTAGATTCTCGCGTGTCCGCCTGTCCCGCCGCGGTGGTCTGAACTGCGGCCCCTAGTGGTTTTGCAGCGTTTCCCTTGCCTGCACAACGCAGCCAGCGTGGCCGGGACTGCTTTGCCCTCGCCCCTGCCCCGCCTCCGCCGCTCCCGGCACTACTCGACTGCTTTGCGTTCCATCTTATTCCTGGCTTCTCACCCTTGCTCATTCTGTAAGGGATGGCGCAGCCGGCGGACGTCCCAGGCCAAACGTTTTTTGATAGGCAGTTGAGGAGTTTCCCAAGGGCGGTGGTTGGGGGCGAGGCTGCCAGCCTCCCAAGGGCAGCAGCACGCCAGGGAGCCGGGCGCGGAGGGGAGTGCTGCCACCATGGTCAGGAGCAGGGTCCTCGGCCCCACTCGGTCCTGTGGCCGACACTGCCCACTCACGACTCCTCCTCCCCCCGGGATTCCCATTTGCTTAAACCTCACCCGCCCACAGCCTTCTTTCCTGAAAGTTACGTAAAGTTAAAAGCGCTTCAACTTGCTTCCCACAAATCCCGAATACACCTCTGAAAAGGAGTGTACTCGCAAGTATTCTCATTTTTCAATGAGAGGCAGTGAGTCACTAAGGAAGATAATCGTATTCCAAGTGCCAAGCCAATAGTTAGGAGACTTGTGGTTGAAACTCTGCTATGTTAAGCTCCATTTCAAATTAAAAAGTTTATTTTGAACGTCATTGTAGATCTTTCCATTTCTTTGGGGAGAACTTAATCTCTATACCCCTTCCCCTTATTTCCCACTTACATAGTTTCTATTTCTGAGGCCTGTGATTAGAGGGAACATGCCAGTTTGGTAATGATAAGCCCTACAAACTTTGTTGTTGTTGTTGTTGTTGTTGTTGTTGAGATAGTCTCCTTCTGTGGCCCAGGCTGGAGTGCAGTGGGGCAGTCTCGCGCAACCTCCATGTCTTGGATTCAAGTGATTCGCCTGTCTTGGCCTCCCAAGTAGCTGGGACTGCAGGTGTGTGTGTCACCACGCCTGGCTAATTTTTGTATTTTTGGTAGAGACGGGGTTTCACCATGTTGGCCAGGCTAGTCTTAAACTCCTGGCCTCCCAAAGTGTTGAGGCCCACCCCCCTCCCCTTCCCCCACTCTTCCCCCCACCCTTCCCCCCATCACCCGCGGTAAACCTTTTTATACACACCATCTGCCAGCACGATCCTGGCTTTTTCTTCTTTCCTTTTTTTTTTTTTTTTTTTTTTTGAGATGGAGTTTCACTCTTGTCATTCAGGCTGGAGTGCAATGACATGATCTCGGCTCACTGCAACCTCCACCTCCTGGGTTCAAACGATTCTCACTGCCTCAGCCTCCTGAATAGCTGGGATTACAGTTATTCACCACCACTCCCAGCTAATTTCGTATTTTTAGTAGAGACAGTGTTTCTCCGTGTTGGTCAGGCTGGTCTCAAACTTCTGACCTCAGGTGATCTTCCCACCTCGGCCTCCCAAAGTGATTACAGACGTGAGCCACTGCACCTGCCAGATCATGGCTTTTTCTGACTATTTCTGGTACATTTTCACACTGCCATGGGTCCATAGATGAAATCACTGTTGAAGGGGTCATCTCTGTCACAAAATCTATAAAGTTACCATTAATTTTGTATGTTTAAGGTTCTGAAAAAGCACACTGTTGATAAGCTGCAGAAAATAGTAGGGCATATTCTGTCACATTCTGTATATTTGAAATTTATTCTAGAAATCGGTAACTTTAATGTGAAAGTGGGTGCAAGACTCCTCATTTGAACATTTACAGATTGATTTATAAACATAAAAATTTGACCACAAGAAGATTATTAACATATTTATAGTACCTTAGTTATGGTACTTTGCAGTTTCTTGTATTGGTTTTGGGGGTTAAAAAACCAATTTGGTTTTGGTGGTTTGATATAGGGTCTTACTCTTGCCCATGCTGAGTACAGTGGCAGGATCATGGCTCACTACAACGGCAACCTCCTAGGCTCAAGTGATGCTCCCACCTCAGCCTCTGGGGTAGCTGGGACTATAGGTGTGGACCACCATGCCTGGCTATTTTTTTATTTTTTGTAGAGACAGGGTTTTGCCATGTTGCCCAGGCTGGTCTGGAACTCCTGAGCTCAAGTGATCCTCCTGCCTTGGCCTCCCAAAGTGCCAGGATTATAGGCATGAGCCACCAAACCTGGCCTGGTTTATTTTATTGTATTACATGTTTTTTAATGACTAAGTTTGATTTTGTAGATAAAGCTGTTGTGACATAAATATGGCTCAAAGAAATGCCAAGATTTCATACTCTGGTAGAGGTGGATCTAGTCTACAGTCTTCTGAATCTCATTTTCTACCAAAGAACTGGTTGTTGTCATCTATTGGTGAGCAACAACTGATAGTACAGATAGTAGGGCAGGAAGTTGCTATTTAGCAATTCATCTGTTAGCATTTCCTTCCACAATTACTGGTAGGTGCCTTTATTATGAAATTTCAGGAATTATTTTGCTAAATACATTTGCCTTGTTTCATTGTTTAGAACACTAATGCTTTTAAACTTCGAATAAGCCACTTCATGTTTTGTTGATTTGGTTTTGTAATTCTTTTTCTGTCCAGTTTTCCTTGTTCCTGGTCAACAAAGAAATGTGGAGTATCTCAGCTGAATCCTCATACAGACAAGATCATTATGGTGCTGTTAGGTAGGGCTTGTATCCAGATGTAAGGTAACATCTCCACCAGCTTAAAAGTTGTAAATGTATTTCAAATGCTCTTGAATGGTGGTTTTCTTTTTTTCCTAAATTTGATTCTCCATTTTTTTTGCCAAGTGATACTCTTTTTGTTCAACAAGCCATATATAAAATTTAGAACTATTATGTATCAAAATAGATAGAACTTCTGGCTGGGCATGGTGGTTTGTATCTGTAATCCTAACACTTTGGGAGGCCAAGGCAATGGATTGCCTAAGCCCAAAAGTTCAAGACCAGCCTGGACAACGTGGCAAAACCCCATCTCTACAAAAAATACAAAACTTAGCCGTGCATGATGGCATGTACCTGTAGTTCCAGCTACTCAGGAGGCTGAGTTTAGAGGATCACCTGAGCCCAGGGAGGTCAAGCTGCAGTGAGCCGTGATTGTGTCACTGCACCCCAGCCTGAACAACAGTGTGACTCTTTCTCAAAAAAAGGGGGGAGTAGTACTTCTACTTTTTCTTCAAGTAGCTCCAAAAGTGTTTACTTTATAAACTCACCTGTAACTTTATTCTTGTTTACCTTAGATGCCATGTTTCTCTTCATAGGTGCTACTTCATAGGTGGAACAGACTAAGTGAACAGGTTTAGATTTTGGTTTTATATAGCCTTTAGAATCCTAAATGAATACATTATTATCCAAGCTGCATCTGAAGGGAATAATCAGTGTTTCTCATGCACGTTACTTTCTCTTTTTTTTTTTTTTTTTGAGACATAGTCTTGCTCTGTCGCCCAGGCTGGAGTGCCGTGGCACAATCTCGTCTCACTGCAGCCTCCGCCTCCCGGGTTCAAGCCATTCTGCCTCAGCCTCCCAAGTAGCTGCGATTACCGGTGCCTGCCACCATGCCCGGCTAATTGTTTTATTTTACTAGAGACAGGGTTTCACCATCTTGGCCAGGCTGGCCTTGAACTCCTGACCTCAGGTGATCTGCCCATCCCAGCATCCCAAAGTGCTGGGATTACAGGTGTGAGCCACCGCACCTGGTCAGGAGTTACTTTCATCCTGCTTTTTTATTGCATGTGCTACAAACACAGAATTCTACTAAATTGACATTTTCTTATGATATAAAGACTAGTTCACATCTCTGCAGGGATGTTATAAGAAATCCTGGCTGTCAAGGATTTAATCTTATCAATTTTAGATAAATTTTTTGAAATTTAGGCAGGGCGCAGTGGCTCATGCGTATAATCTTAGTGCTTTAGGAGGTCGAGGTGGGTGGATCACAAGGTCAAGAGTTCAAGACTAGCCTGACCAATATGGTGAAACCCGGTCTCTACTGAAAATAGAAAAATTAGCTGGATGTGGTGGCACCCGTCTCTTGTCCCGGCTACTCGGGCAGCTGAGGCAGGAGAATCGCTTGAACCCAGGAGGCAGAGGTTGCAGTGGGCCAATGTCGTGTCACTGTACTCCAGCCTAGGTGACAGAGCAAGACTCAATTTCAAAAAAAAATTAAAACAAATTCACTGTTTTACTTATAAGATCTATTTCCGCAGATAATTATTTATTGATTTAATGTATTTGTGAATGAATGACAGGGTCTCACTATGTCACCCAGGCTGGAGTGCAGTGGTGCAATTGTGACTCACTACAGCCTCAACCTTCTGGCAATCCTCCCACGTCAGTCTCCTGAGTAACTAGGACCCCAGGCTCATGCCACCATGCCCAGCTAACTTTTTTTTTGCGTGTGTGTGTGTATGAAGACTGGGTCTTACTATGTTGCTCCTAGGCTCAAGTGGTTCTCCTGCCTCAGCCTCCCAAAGTGCTGGGATTATAGTTGTAAGCCACCATACTTGGCCATATGTTTTTGAGATGGGGTTTTGTTAGGTTGCCAGGCTGAACTTAAACTCCTGAGCTCTTCCTACCTCAGCTTCCCAAGTAGCTGGGACTACAGGCATGTACCACTGTGCCTACAAATAATTATTAACTATTGGTACTTTATTTGCAAAATATCCCATTTTTATTAGTTGTCCATCCCAACAGAGCCACAGACTAAAAGTTCTCTAAGAAAACTTACCTGGGCTGGGTACAGTGACTCATACCTGTAATCCTAGCACTGAGAGGCTGAGGCAGGAGGATTGCTTGAACCCAGGATTTTGAGACCAGCCTGGACCACATAACAACATAACAAGACCCTATCTCTATTTTCTTTATTAAAAAAAAAAGCAAAAATTACCCACATTTTGGCCCACTTGTCTGCATTTTCATGTCATGAATCTGTCAAACGTTCATTCATTTAAGAAACATTCAATAAATACCAAATGTATAAATGTATACTGGCCTGTCTGATGACTTGATGGGAACAGTAAGGAACAAGAGAAGACCCTTGCCCTCAAGTTGTTTACAGTCAGATGTATAAAGTTCTGACCTGGATGTTGATCTCTGAGAATATACAGCCTCATAGTCACCCATACACAAACACACACTAAACAGTACCAAACAGCGACTGATAAAGAAGAGATGGCGTAGACCAAGGGTATCCAATCTTTTGGCTTCCTTGGGCTACAGTGGAAGAAGAAGAATTGTTTTGGCTCACACATAAAATATATTAACAGTAATGATAGCTGAGGAGATAAAAAATACAATGACAAAAAAGATTTCATAATGTTTTAAGAAAGTTTACAAATTTGTGTTAGGCTACATTCAAAGCCAACCTGGGCTGCATGCAGCCCATGGGCTAGGGGTTGACCAAGCATGGCCTCGACCCTAAGTGTTATAGAATTTGTAGGCATTTAAGACTGTTGTAGTCAGGGAAAGTTTATAGAAGAAGATGGACTGAAAGGAGAGGGAAATTTCTCTAGGAAGTTAGAACAATGTGAGCACAATTCAGAGTATGCTTAAAATAGGGAGTAGTTTAACTTGAGCATTGGTTCCTAAAGTGTGGTCCACAGACCACTAGTAGCATCAGCATCACCTGGTAACTTATTAGAACTGTAGTTTCACAGGCCCCACCTCAGACCTACTGAATCAGAAATACTGGCAATGAGGCCCAACAATCTATGTTTTAACACACCCTCCAGGTGGTTCTGATGCATGCTAAAGTTTCAGGACCACTAAACTAGAGCAGAGGATTGTTGTATGGAATGAGTAGGCAAAAAAACTCTTAAAAGGTAGGCTGGGAACTCATTGTGAAGAACTTAGAATGTCAGGCAGGGAATTTGTCTTTTATCCTGCAGACTAGAGCCACCAACTTGTGACTTGAGGGCTGGATTTGGCTCATAGAATGTGTTTTGTTTGGCCTGAATGGTGGGTTTTTGGGGGATTCTAAGTGAAATTGGTTGTCATTTAAAAATCAGCAGATTTTACATAGAAATCTGCTTTCAGCTTACCTTGAAAAATCAAAAACCTGGCAGTATGGGGCCTACATTCTGTTATGGTAGCAATTGGTGGGAACAGCAAGAAGCTGCCCCTTTAGATGGGACATACACTCTCCAGTTTACCATAATCCCCACCAGTTCCTTTTATCTTACACACACCTTTACTCATTTACATTTCCTGCCTAGTCCCTGTGGGTATTTGAGTTTGTAACTTCTGCTGTGGACAGTGGGACATGAATGAAAATTTTGAGGAGAGTGATGAGATGTATGTATTTAATTTATTTGACATTAAACAGATATGCCAGATTGTACTCTGCTAAGTAATCAGTTTTCAAAGATGAATGAGTCCCAGCTGGGCTTGGTGGCTCCCGCCTGTAATCCCAGCCCTTTGGGAGGCCAAGGCTGGTTGATCACTTGAGGTCAGGAGTTCGAGACCAGCCTGGCCAACATGATGAAATACCCTCTCTACTAAAAATAAATTAGCCGGGCATGGTTGTGAGCACCTGTAATCTCAGCTACTCCGGAAGCTGAAGCAGGAGAATCACTTGAACCCAGGGGGTGGAGTTTGCTGTGAGCCAAACCGTGCCATTGCAATCTAACTTGAGCAACAGAGCGAGACTCCATCTCAAAAAAAAAAAAAAAAAAAAAAAAGTTTACTTTGGAGGCCCTATCGTTAAAATTTATAATATTGGTTGCATGAGTCAAGTCCATAATTCAAATCCTGTCTTGACTGTGTAATCTTTAAATTTATGTTGCATAGGTAAGTTTAACTTTTTTGTTCCTGAGGGGATAGAAAATAATATATAAACTCAAATATTTCAAGTAATTCTTTGACCTCAGCCTCCCAAAGTGCTGAGAGGTAAGCGCGAGCCACCAAGCCCCACCTCTTGGTACCTTTTAACCACATACTCATGCATGTAAGTAGCCACTCATTGATCATGCTGCGAAACATATGGCTGGCATTTTAACAGCAAATTTTAAAAAATTACAAAAGCATAAACTAGATTTTATGTACTTTTTTTTTTTTTTTTTTGAGATAGGGTCTCACTTTGTCACCAGGCTGGAGTGCAGCAGCTTGATCTCGGCTCACTGCAGCCTTGACCTCCCAGATTCAAGCAGTCCTCCTGCCTCAGCCTCCCAAGTAGCTGGGACTACAGGCACATGCCACCACACCTGGCTAATTTTTTGTATATTTTGTAGAGATGGAGTTTCACCATGTTGCCTAGGTTGGTCTTGAACTCTTGAGCTCAAGCTGCCTGCCTCGACCTCCCAATCTCCCAAAGTGCTAGGATTACAGGTGTGAGTTGTTGTGCCCAGTCTGTGTACTTACTAATTAGCTCCTTAGTCATTGCCTTCTTCACCTTTACACACACATATACACCAACTTCTACAGGGAGTATGACTTGCTTCTCTTGCTTTTGGTGACTTTTTAATAAGCTGTGTGGTAAGAGTGGCTGAGGTTGTAGTTTGAGAAGAAAGTGTAGGAGAGGAAAAACAGCTGAAGATCATTAGACTACAGATCAGGAGATGAGCTTGGTGATGTGGGTTCCAGAGCCTGAACAGATTAGAAATGAAAATGTAGAAAGAGATAACTGAGTCAAAAATAGGCATATTGACAGCAGATTAAAAAAAGAAAAC